TAAATTCAAATCGGCTTGGCCGTAAGGGTGTCTTAGGGAAGGAGGGAGACATAGAGACAGACAGACACATCTGTCGATTTTGTAGATATCAAAATGCTTATAGTATTTTATTGTTCTTTGTCCTCCTTTGGATTGCCTTTAGTGTAAAGCTCATTATTTGTCTTAGATTCCAATTTATCTTTCTTCCTACGTGCTATCACAATTTCTTTTTTCATTATAAAATGACACATAAGCACGCCATTCATATTGAACAAACCAGTGTCCCGTCAATTAAAGTAGTTCTTCCAATATATTTTCCTCCTTTCTCTCATTAAAGAAGCGTCTTTGTGCTTTGCTCTGAGGTAGTTGAGAAATTGAAGTGATGTAGTTGTTAACAGGCTCCAGTTTTATCTTTTACTTCTTGTTTACCTGAGGCTCATTTAAATGGAGCTGTCAAATTGGATGCTCATGTAAATTGATGCTAGAGGATTTTCTCACCTCAACAAGGTAATGAAGAATTTTGAATTTCCTTCCCTGTAGAAATTCATTTGCCCATTCTTCTTAAAAGGCAGGATGTTCTTTGCCAAGTGACTGTGGAGTGGGAGGGCAGTGTGTAGGGCGGACTTCATTAATAAGCTGTACCAGATTCATGCAGAGCCTTCTGGTGAGTCCAGGGAGCTCAAAAACATTATTCACCCTATTTTCATAGTGCTTTTTAAAATATAAAGCTTGGGAAAGGGGTCCTGAAAAATAGATCTCTCTCTGCCTTCAAATAGGAGTGTTCTAACACCTTCCATAAATCTCTGAGGTGTATACCTTTTCTACCCAGTATGTTCTTGAAATTAAAAAAAATTCTTTCTAAAATTTGTCATCAGATTTTCTCACTCTTCTCCAAAGTAAAACTTTTATTTTTTTCTTAGATTTTAACTTTGTATTTAAAAACAATATGGTGAAACATGGCGTATTGTTATATGTGTGTCCAGTCTGTGTTAAATCATCTTTCCTAAAAATAGAGTTCCTCCCTCCCCTATTTATGAGCTAACTTATAAACCAGGCAGCAATCATGTCTTCCAACTCCTATCTGAAAAGTGGGATAATATATTTGTAGGGTACAATTAAATCTTTCCTGCTAGGTAGAGGAGTAATTTGTTTCAAGTGTCTTAATGTTACCTTTAATATTTCTAGTCCCTAAAATTACTTTCACAAATAGCTTCCACAAGTCTTCTAAAAATGAAGAAGCAATTTATGTGCCATTGCTGCTAATATTTCTTTGGCGAGTATTTTTTACACACGAGTGCATACTGGCATTTGCATTACTTAAAATGTGGTTAGTGTCAAAAGGCCAAGTGTTAAGTGAATAGCCACTCGTGTTAAGTAAATATTGCCGTAAGTCAAATTGTAACAAGTACTCAGCAAGACATGCATAGGCTCTTTGATTCAGTAGAGTAACAGTAATGATTTTTATTCATATTTATGGAGTAGCTTCTGGGTAGAGAGCATTATAAAATATGTTAAAAGGAATGGTGGCAGTATTGGGTGGCCAAAGAAAAGAATCCACAGAACTGTGTGCCTAGAAATCCCTAAAAATGGAGCTTCAGTCTGTGCAGAGAAACTGATGGGTGGATCAAGGAGAGGACTCCTGTGGTTTGGTAGCTAGGACAGGGAAAGCTGGACAGCTGGGGTTGATGTCTCACTCTCACTCTTTGATTTAGAGTCCCGGCAGCTTATACCACAGCGACATTCTGAAATGGAATGTACCAGAGCCTGCCCTCTCTGTTTTTAGTACTTTTTCTCTTGCTAAGCTTAGACTTGGAATGGGAAATCCAGTCAAGGACTAAACCAAAACCAACTCCAGGGGTGAGAGAGATTGAGAAGGGTGGAAGACATCACTTCTGGTATGGCTGACAGAAGAGGAATGGGACAGCTTCCTGAAAGCCTCCTAGCCTTCAGTCTCCCACTCCCCACCACCATCCTGCCCCATCTTGGCCCCCTGTGGTCATTCTCCACATAGCAGCCAGAATTATCTTTGGAAAACATAACTAGATTGCATCATTTCCTTAGAACTTTCTAATGGCTTCCCATTATGCATAAAATCCTGATTCCTTACTGTGTCCTGCAAGGTCCTACATGATCTGGCCTCTGGCCGTTTCTCAGACATTATTTATTTTTTCTAGTTTTCCCTGCATTCACCACACTTCGGCTCATTCGGATCACTATCTTCCATTTGGAAATCCCTTGCCAGAGATCTTCTCATGGCTTCCCTCTTTTCTTCATTCTGGCCTTAATTCAAATATCACTTCTTCTAATACCACCCTAGCTAAAAGCAACCCCTCCCAACCCATCCCCATCCCAGTTATCGTCTACCACTTTATTCTTTTTTATCTTCCTAGTACTTATTAGTATCTGAAATTAATTTACATATTGTTTACTTATTTTTTGTTTGTCACTTTCCATCAAAATAAAAACATCTTAAAAGTAGAGTCTTTGGTTTTTTTTGATGCCTGGGACCAAACTGACTTTCCACAAATTTTTGTTGGCTGGCTGACCTGACCTTAGTGTCCTAGTGGAAAAGATGAGTGGATATAGAATAGTATTGTTCCACGTTCCTTATAAGATCCTGAGAGACAGAGTGCACTGTGTCCAAAAGAAGCAAGGCCTCCTCATTTTTGGTGTTGCATTTCCAGCCCACCATACTTGACATGTATCCTAAAGACCAAATCAGCCCTTTTAGATTAATGATACGGAAGCAGTAAATGAAGGAACTTCATCTGGCTATCAGCTTACTCCCATATTTTCACAGATTACCGTAGAATGCTTTTTTTTAAATCTTGGAGCTTTTTAGATCCTTATCACCACCGTGGTAGTGTGATGTTATAAGACGTGATAGTTAGAGGTCCTGTGTAAGCGTGTCCTCTGGTAGAGTCATTTGGTTATTCAGCAGACATTTGTTGAGCCCTGTTCTGTGTCAAGTACTGCTCCAAGTGTTAGGGTCACAGAAGGAAAGGAAACAGATGAAAATCCCTGTCCTCGTTGAGCTTGCATTTTTGTGGGGAAGATGGAAAATAAACAAGATAACTAAGTAAAGTATGTAGTGGGTAATTAGATAACAGTAAGTGCTGAGGAGAAAAACTATAGCAGGGAAGGAGGATTGGAAGTATGGGGTGGGGTGGTGGTGCAATGTTAGATTGGATGACCAAAGAAGGCCTCACTAAGAAGATGAGATTTGAGAAAAGACCTAGAAGTGTTGAGGGAACAAACCTTGTGGAAATCTGGAGAAAGAGCAATCTAGCCAGAGGGCCTGAGTGCCAAGGTCTTGAAATGGGAGCCTCAGTAGCTTGTTGGAGGAATAGCTAGGAGATGACTAAGCAGGGTGGGAGTAAGGGCAAAGTAGGAGAGTGGTCAGGTGGGGGAAGTGTGGAGGGGGTAAGGATGGTTTCGTAAGGCCTTATGGGTTATAGTAAAGACATGGTAAAGACTTTGCCTTTTACACTGAGTGAAATGGGAAGCATTGGCTAGTTTTGAACTAAGGCATGATGTGACTTGACATGTTTTAAAGGATTACTCTTGCTGCTGGGTTGCTTCCCACGAACAAAAGCAGGAGGACCCATTAGGAGGCTATTGTAATAATAAAGGCAAGAAATAATTGTGTCTTGGCCCATGCAGGTGGAGTGAAGGTGTTGGGAATTTGTCAGATTCTGAATACAGACATAGTTTGAAGATAATACTGACAAGATTTGCTTATGGACTGAGGTAGGGTGTGAGAGAAAGGATAACTCCAAGGTCTTTGGTTTGAGCAACTGGAAGAGTTGAGGCAAGTTTGTTGGGGAAAATTTGGAGCTCCAGTGTGGACGTGATCCATGCTAGATGCATGTTAGATGCCCAGCTGGGAGGTGAATACCAGTTGTAGATATTAGCCTGTGAAGCAACGGGGAGGTCTTGGTTGGAAATAGAAATCTTGGAGTAATCAGTATATAAATGCCATTTAAAGCCACAAGACTGAATGAGATTACCTGGGAAGTGAGAGTAGTTAAAAAAAGAAGACATCCAAGGACTGAGCCCTGGAACACACCAACTTCCTACAGAAAAAGCAGTGGAAAATGAAGGAAAGCAGCCAAGCTAGGATGAAAACCAGGACAATAGCATGTCCTGGAAACCAAGTGAAGAAGGGTTTCAGGAAGTGTGAGTGATGAACTGTGGTAAATGCTACATAGGTTAAGTAAGATGAAACTGAGAATTGAGGCCAGTCAAGGGAGTGGAGATGGTGAAACCTGATCGTAGTGTGGTCAGGAGAAAATGGGTAGACAGAGTGATTAGATGACACTTTCAAGAAGTTTTCCCCCAATGGGAGGAGGGAAATGGAGTGAGAGTTGGAAGGGAGCACAGGTCAAGGGAGGAGGTTTTGTGGTTGGAAGAAATAAAATGTTTCCATGCTGATAGGAATGATCCAGTAGAGAAGATGTTGAAGATTCAGGAGAGAGGAGAATTGCAGGAGCATGACTTTGAATAGAGAAGAGTCTACGATATCAAGTGCACAGTAGGGAAGTTGACCTTAGCTAGAAGCAAATGCAGTTAGTTCATAGTACAGAAGAGAAGGGAACACACAGATGTAGGTAGGCGGGGAGGTATGCTGGTGGAAGATTGTGAAAGTTTTCTTTTTTTGCTTCAGTTCTCTCAGTGAAAAAGGAAGCCAGGTCACATTTGGGAGTGAGGGTGGGGAGGAGGTTCTGGAATTTTGAGGAGAGAGGACAAAGTTTGAATTATGAGTCTAAAAGAGTGTGACAATGAGTGGAACCGGGAAATCTAGACTGACTGCTGGGCAGCATTAAGTGCCCCCTTGAGGTTAGTGGGTGGGGATTTAATGTGAGACCAGACGACCAACGTGGTCGAGTATTTTCCTCCAACCACTTGCAGCTGCACTCTTGCAGGCAGGGAGCAGACCACAAAGTGGATTGAGAGAGAACTTGACGTGCAAATAGTCTATCAGACAAGTAATATTCCTCTGCACTTTTCTCATTTCTCAGGTGGTTGCATGGTTTCAATTGGGAAGGGCTGAAAGCACGGAACCTCGCATCACCTTTACAAAGAGAGGTATGGTGTCTGCTATATTACTCGCTTGATGTTTTTGTGGGAATTGGCTTTTGTAAATGAATTTTAGGGGTGTGTGTATAACAGATTTTAGATTTTTTAAATAGTTTTTTAAAATTAAGTTTAAATGTCATAGCAATTGTGATTATAGGGACTAAACAGTATTACATATTTGATGGGCATTAGCTCAGCTCTAAGGAATCAGTTACATATAAATCTGAGTCCCCAAAGAGTCAGTGTTAATCAGGCTGACAAATGGCTCTAGAAAGTGTAATATGAACCAATTTTATTTTTAAATTTTAAATTTTCTAGTAACCACGTTAAAAAGGTAAAAATAAATAGATGAAATTAACTTTAATTATCATATATGTAAAAAATATTATCATTTCAATATCTAATCAACATAGAATATTAATGAGATGCTATATTTATTTTTTCATACTAAGTTTTTGAAATCTCGAGTGGATTTTACACTTTCATCACGTCTCAGTTCGGACTAGCCACATTTCAAGTGCTCAGTCCCCACGTGTTGCTGGTTGGACAGCACAGCTCTAGAGAAAGCAGGACATCTGCTCACTTGGGGAGAGACTGACTCAAGAATGATCTAGGTCAACACGCTACAAACTTTATGCTGTGTTCTCTCTAGAGAAATTTTGGATATCTGTATCTCCCCTTGTACATTTTTAGATTGACATCTAAATTTTTTCATTGTACATTTAAATCACTGTGAAGAATGTAATTTCTAGTATGTTGTAAATATTGACATTTTACAGTAAAACATTACTGTTACTTCACTGCTTTAAATATGTTCAATGTAATCTAAATACCATTGAGGTTTGAGACTCTTCAGCCATTTAAAAAATACAGAGAGAAATATTATATCATTCCTTTCTCACTCTGAATTCATATTTCCATATTTCAATTCCATTTCCTTATAAAATTTCAATTTAATATAAAATAATTTTATGCTTGTCAATCTCTGATAATTCTTTAAGTGCTTTCAATTATAGTTTTATAAATTTTAAAATTCTTGTGACAACAGAAATTTCTGTGACAACACAAATGTTTTTTCTGGATTCAACTATAATTACATTTTTATAGCATGCAATATCAAACAACATAAATATATTATAAAATTGTAAAGTAATTATTAAACAAATATTTTTTGAAAATAAATTATATAATGTACCATGGATATATTTATTTATTAAGAGAATGGGATCAGACTCCTCATCAGTTCTATTCCTTTTGAAAATTATATAGGTGCAAGAGCTAAGAGTTGTGTTCACATAAATAAGTAAATGGAACTGGAGGGCTTTATAATAGCAATGTCACTTTGAATGCCTTTTGAGTGATCTCCTCACCCTCCCAAAAAAACACATTATGATCTATGATAAATAGTATTTTTGATGATCTATCAGCTGATAAATCAATCAGGTACTTCTTAAATTTGTTTAAAAGCAAAGACTTGGAAAGTACCTAATTAGCAAAATAATTTAATTCCAGAGTCATTTCACTCTTTCAAAAGAGTCAATCATATTTTGAGTTGTCCCTTTGTTTGGCATTCTGGAAACTTTATATGGGTCAGTTAACCATATGAAAATTCAAAGTTTGTGAAAAATTTTATAAAGTGGAAGAAAGATTCTGACAAATTTTGATTTTTTGAGTATTTGCTTTTAAAATGTTTCTCAATTTGAAAAAAAAAAATAGACATCATTTCTGTCACCTTTGCTTTTGGAAATAACTCCTCAGGACAGGTAACTTCTATTGAATGTAATCCAGTGACCCCATCCATTTGGTCTAAAGGGGATATCTCATGAGGTTGAGAGTGTGACTAAAAAATGCTAATTGGTCATCTTTTCCATATATGTAACTTACCTGTGGTTACAGCATAAAAATCAGTGTTCAGATATATGAAGCATTCTCCATATGTAATAGAGTGCGCAGTCAACATCATCCTCACTTTTGGTTTAACCCTTTCTCTATTAGCTCAGTGGACCCACAGATCACAGCTACTTTGACAAATATCCTCCTGAGAAGGGAGTGCCTCCGGATGAGCTGTCAGGCTGGGATAAAGACTTCTGACAGAAAAAAAGATGATTACTGCCTATCTACCACAGAAGAGGACTATGAGCACCAATAATCCAACACTGATTATTTCTCTTTTTCGAGTATTATAATATCTTTTGGAAGACCTTTAGGGAAAAGTAATCCCTGCCCGTGAGCTGAGATGGACGATAGTGGATATGGAGGTGGTTCTGAATTATAATGTCTCATTTAGTGCTGTGAATTATTCATGTATTCCATTCTTTGCTTTTCTCAAATGTTGAAGGCTATCCATAGTTGGAACCATTTTTGTTGAAGGGGCATAGTGTCCTCTGCAGTCTGTTGCTCCATCCCAGTCATACCATCTCCTTTGAGTCCTAAAAAGGCTTAAAAAGTGTCTTGCCCTTGAGCAATAAATCATGCAAATAGAAAGAAGAGCAAGGTGAATTTTGCAAGGGAGTATTTCCCCTGCTCTCAACAACTCCCTGAAGGCATTATGGCATCGTCAAGTGGTGGTTTGCAGAAATCTTGGTAGTCAGTAGAGCTCTTGATTTTACCTGCATTCAACTAGAAATATATTAATATGCTTCCAATACTAGTCTGGGGAAAGGCAAGTTTGAGTGTTTAGTCAGTACTTACCACTCCCTAAAATAAATGAGTTAATTAATGCAAGCAGCTAGTTATATTCTATTGGGGATCTTAGAAAAAATAAACAGCAAAAAATATTTTTCATTCTCCTGTGACCTCTGTGACACCTCAGAGACTTTTCAAAAACCTTGTTCACGGTGGTTATAATGTCTGGTTAAGTGATGGGCCTTGGGAAGGTTTTATCTTATATACTAAATATTTTCACAAAGTAGAAAACATGCAACAACAAAATTGTGAAGGCTTCTCCTTCCCATTAAATATGGAAGAAAATAAATTCTAATAGGTAAGATTGCTGACTCGAAACTCTCAGATATTTTGGCCAATTCTGTGATTGTTGCTATTAATAAACCAAGAGTATAGAATAACTAGAGTTAATTTTTAATGAAGATCCCATTGGCAAATGTTGATGCAGTCTAATCACTGCTGTGTTAGTAACTCTTTTGAAAGACATCTGAATTGCGGATGTGTTTATAATTTTAGATTGTTAAGGCAGGCAAGCCGCTGGAGAAGTGATGGGACTTTAGAGGTACAAGGGTCATCTGGCGTCTGCCCTCCTCCTGTCTCCTCTTTGTAGTCTTCCAAATAATGAAGGAAATAGTAGTTTCAATGGCGTTGGACGCCAGTTCCTAAGAACTTTACCAGTGAATGTTTTTGTGTGTCCACCACAATCACTCCCTCACCATCCTTCCGGAATGGATGGGAAACAGACTTTCTCTGTATCTTTTTGATCTGGCAGAGTAAAAATAACTTCTAAGTTATTGCGTTATTCAGGCTTCTGGTTATATTTTCATATGCTCGTGTTCTGTGGGAAAAGCAGCCTTTACCCACACCCTACCCAGATTTTTAACATTCAAAGTCAGCTAGATGCTTCCTGAAGAGTTAAACCAGATAAGTAAGGCCCAACGCAAGAAGGTGCCTCCTTAACAAACTGAATTTCCACATTTAGAATCCTTTTGCTGAACCAAAGAATTTTTGTTTCCTGGAGTAGTATTTTTAAAGATTATGTATTGTACATAGAAGAGCCATTTTTAATAGGATCGACATAATCTGCTTAATGAATTTCTAAGATTTTTAAAAGATTTTTATTTGCATTTGGTTTGTAAGCACTGTATGTTTTTCCATGTATATATTTTTAAATTACCCACTTATATGTAGGAAATTTATGTATTGGGTGGATATTAGAACTGTACAGTTGTAATAGCAATGATATTCTTAAAGGAGATTAATTGTTGTAATTCAAAAAAGACCTACATATATACAAATAAAAACCAACTTAGATTTATTTTGCCTGCAGTTGGCCGTATCAATATGTAATCTCCACATGTGATTTTATTGTAATTTCTTTAGAATAATTTATAAAGATGAAGAAATGAGAGATTGAACCATCATATAATCCCAATTCCACTATTTTCTAACTGAGTGACCTGAGGAAAAATGACTTCACTTCTTTGAGTACTAGCTTTCTCATCTGTAGAAAAAGGCACAATAAAGTGATACCTACTTTAGAGACCTGTTTGGGGGATTAAATAAGATATCTAGAGAGTCCTTTATTGTTATCTGTGAAATAATCAATGCTGCATAGATGTGGCTACTGTTACTTTCTCTTTTAGAATTAAAGGGGCCTTAATAACCATTTAGTCCTGAACCTTATGTATCATTGGTATCTGTATGCATAATTGTACCAATTAAATCCAGTATCTATCTTTTCTTTTTCTTTTAAGTCATGAAGTAAAGATGGTTGATCGAGCTTTAGTGCATAAGATGAAGAGTTAACCCTCACCAAAATGAAGTGCTTTATTAAGAGCTCACTTAAATTTCTAAATTTTAATGTTTTTATGAAGTAAGGAGATATATATGTATATATATTTTTTCTGAGGAAGTATAGAAAATTATCCCTCTGTATACAAACCCATCATATTCCTAATCATTAAATCATTCTTAATCTCTCTTTTCTAGGTGCAAAGTTAATTTTTCACTCTTGAGTCTGTTCTCTGTGGGGTCAACTTTTGGTAATTATAGTTTCTTAATCTTTTCTCTAAATTTAAAATATCTAGAGGGAGGAGAATGTAGTGGTGAAAATTAAGAGATTTGGAATAAAAAAGATCTGGGTTTGAATTCTAGTCCTGCCCAGATTTGTGTGACCTTGAACAACAAACCGCATCTTTATTCATCTGTAACTTGAGATGTACGTGTAAAGCTTTGAAACATTGGGCCAGAATATTATTACTCATAGGTCATTGATAATAACCATTTAGAAATAAATATATGCTTATACTTCTTTTGGCATAATAATAAACCCTTGTTCTTTATTACCAGGCATTGTACTAGGAGTATTTACATCCATTATCTCATTTGCATAAAATTCTTAAATAATTATAAACACACTGACTGTTGACTGCTCTCAAAGCTAAATATTGGCCTCAAATATGCATTTTATTCACAGTTTAGCTGTGATGGTTTTACATGGCTTAGTCCCAGTTACTATGACTATATAACAAATTACCCACAACGTAGTCACTTACAACAACCGTTTTATTATTCTTCTAGGTTCTGTGGGTCAGGAATTCAGACAGCACATGGCAAGAATGGCTTGTCTCTGTGCCACAATATCTGGGGTATCAGGTGGAAAGACTTGAAGACTGGGATGAGTCAATGGCTGGGAGCTAGAATCACCTGATGCCTTGTTCACCCACATATCTGGGACTAATCCCCAGGCTGGGACTACTCAAAGACTGGGACTGCTGACCAGGGTGCCTACGCATGTCCTCTCCATGGCTTGGATTCCTTACATCATGATGTCCTTAAACTAGTCAGACTCCTTTCATGGTAGCTTAGGGCTCCAAGAGCAAGTATTCCAGCCAACAAGGGACAAGCTGTACCATCCTTTATGAACCAGCCTTGGAGTTATATAACATCACTTCCACCTTACTCTGTTGGTGGAAACATTTACAAACCCACCCAGATTTGAGGGGAGGGAACATAGACTCCACTTGTTAATGAAGAGAGTTTCAAAGAATTAGCAAGCAAGTTTTAAAACTGCCACAACCCACTTTCTGGCCACAGATGACTTATATTGCTGCCATATGCCAAATAAATTCATTCCCTCAGAAGAGTCTCCCTAAAAATATCATCTCATTACAGCATCAGGCTCAGGCTCCAGGAACTTGTCATCTAAATCCATTCAGGGGTAGATGAGGCTCCTCAGTTATAATTCCTTAGATACATTCTTTTAGGTCTGAAAGCCTGGGAACTAAGTAAACAAGTCATCTGTCCCCAAACTCATAACACTGAATGGTGAGATGATCATAGGATAACCGTAACAGATCCTTGCATTCAGAGAGGGAGAAGATGGGAGACACAAAGCTATCACTGGTCCATAGAATTCTGAAATTTGGCCTGACACGTTACTGTTTCTCTGCTTAGGGAAATCCTACTCCCTGTGAGTTGTTCTCCATAGCTCTTGGCTCCACTTTGTAGAATCTTGGTTCTGACTTCTGAGTCCTCCTTTTTTTCCTGTAAGATATGGCTGGTATTTGCAACTGACTTCTTAGCCTGTTCCCTGCCTGTAAATGTTTGGTGGTAGAGATGCCTCTTTTTAAATTGTCTGTCTCTGTCTTTTTATTCTATGTTGATACATTTTCTTTAAAAACCTTGTGAGTTTCCTGTGTGTGAGTTTATTGTCCACTCCATTAGACAAAAGCTACACTCATAAATCTTTTTTGTGGGGATGCTCTGGGAAAAATGACTCTTAAAAGTTCTATTTTTTAAAAGAGAGGGTGTGCACAGCACGTGCTTAAGATGCTCAGAAGGCCTTTTGTCTGTTTGAAGGGGTGTGGTGGGGGCCAGCCCCGTGGCTTGGTGGTTAAGTGCACGCACTCCGCTGCTGGCGGCCCGGGTTCGGATCCTGGGCATGCACTGACGTACCGCTTCTCTGGCCATGCTGAGGTCGCGTCCCATCTACAGCAACTAGAAGGATGTACATCTATGACATACAACTATCTACTGGGGCTTTGGGGGGGGGGGGAAGAAAGGGTGTGGTAGGCAGCTTCAAAGATGGCTTCCAATGATCCATGCTTATGGTATTCATGCCCTTTTATAATCCATCTCCTTGAGTGTTCATTGAACCTAGGGACTTCCTTCTAACAAATAGAATATAATAAAAGTGATGGGATGTCACTTTTGAGTTGAGGTTACAAAGTGACTCAGCTTCTGTTCTGCTCATCCTCTCTTGCTTTCTCATTTACTTGCTCTGGTGAAAGCCAGCTGCCATGATGTGACTTCTCTGTTGATAGATCAATGTGGCAAATGACTGAGGGAGCCTCTAGCCAACAGCCAATGAGGAACTGAGGCTCTCAGTCCCACAATCTGTGATGAACTGAATCTTGCCAACAACCACAGGAGTGAGTTGGAAGCAGATCCTCCATCAGTTGAACCTCTAGATGAGACTGTAGACCTGGCCAACACCTTGACTGCAGCCTAGTGAGAGTCCATGAGTCAGAGGTGCCAGATAAACAACTCCCCAGTTCCTGACCAACAGAAACTGTGAGATAAGAAATACTTGTTCTTTTAAACTACTAACTTGGGAAGGAAAGATGAACATGAATTGGCAAAAGTAAGAACAGAGTGGACACAAATGGACAAATTGGAATTCTTGAGGAAAACTAGAATTTGTGATGACAAACTAGAACCCATGAGGACAAACTGGAACCTGGGTCTGCCTTTCTTGGTTGCCAGCCTTGTTCAGATGGGTGGCCTGCGGGATAATGTGGCACCTTGCACGTATACCTGGGTTGAGGTTTCCAGTTGCCGAAGGAGCAATATGGTTGGAGCTGGAGGAACCACACACTTGGCTGCTGCCCTTCACCAATAAGGTGAGCCAGCAGATCAGCAACAGTGTGCACGAACTACAGTAGTGCTTGGTCTTTCACTGACTCTGGAGAGTATACATATGGCTGCTACTCACTTCTGCATTTCACATCATATGCAAATTTCTCTTGTAGCAAAGCCTAACTCAGAACCACACAGAGAAAGGAATTTGGGGAAACTTATTTCTGACTTAGCTAAATTGAGACAGTACAAAGTCATTCAAGTTCAAGCCTAGTAAAATATAT